GCTTTCCTTTCCTCCCCTCAAATGATCCTTCCCCATTGAAACGTCAGCGTGTTTTTCAAGCCTAAATTCAGTGGGCATCGCTGCGCTCCTTCTGTTGCGCGTCTTGGCCACCGGGAGGCAGTATAAAGCAGACATACAAATTCACGTGATGTTCGGGGAAGCTGTGTTCAAATTAGTCGTTCTTCTCAGAGGATAAATAGCATATGCCTGTGAGTATAACTGCATTTTCCATTTACGTGTTGCTGAAGCCATTCCAGCGACCATTTTTCCTCCCTGCCAATGGCGTTTTCCCTTGTGTGAGCTCCCACTCCAAATTGTGCCCTAACTTGTGTGTCTCTGCCCACGCAGGTTGAACTTCCAATTCTGTCCTTCTTCCAAAGTTCATGGTTTCTCCGCCGTGGACCTCAAACCTAATGGAGACGACGAGGTAGATACGCGTGTGGCTTCCTGGTTTCCATGGTAATGCTGACTGTCGCTGTAACAAAGTGCGCGTGTGTGTGTGTGTCTGCGCGCGTGTGTAGATGGTTACCATGGAGAATGCTGAGGACTACGTAGAGTTAATGTTTGACTTCTGCATGCACACGGGAATACAGAAACAGATGGAGGCCTTCAGAGGTATACACACACACACACACTCCAATTCCACGCCTTCGCCCACATCGGGTACGTCAAGGTACATCGCGTCGAATTTTGTTCCATGTAGTGGTGAACAAATAGAATGCAATGACATGGCGCGAAGCTCAAGCCCCAAAGACCACACGAGTAGCCAACGAATCTGTTTTCCAAATCGCTCACTTGTGATGGGACACTGTAACTTACTAAGTATTCAAACAGAAGGTTGAAAGGTATTTATTTAAACTAAACTTGATGCATGTTTCTTCAGTCCCTCCGTGTTATGTCTTTCTTTCTTCAGTCCGCGATGTTTTTGCTCATGGTTGTCATACCATCAGAATCGAATATTGGCCCATGCCTACCTTGTTAGTTACTCATTTAGTTTATCACTTAGCCTTGGTTATGGACTTTTTTTTCTTTTTAAGATTGATTCTTGGTTACTGAGCCAGTTAGTTACTTGTCCTCTCAGCTGGCTACTCTGTTAGTTCAGGATTGACTTCATGACTCGTTTAGTCTGCTTGTCGGTGAGCTCGTTTATGATTTGCCGGTGTTGTGGCGCGTTGCCATCAGAGGGCTTCAACGGCGTTTTCCCGATGGAGAAGTTGAGCTCGTTCAGCCACAAAGAAGTTCAGCTGATCCTGTGCGGCAACCAATCGCCTTCTTGGACATCTGATGACATCATCAACTACACCGAGCCAAAGCTGGGCTACACCAGAGACAGGTCCCGCCCATTTTGCCTTTCGTCGTCGCCACGGTCTTGTCGCAGTTTGTTGGTGGGAACTTTTCTTTGTGGATTTTGCCGCCTTCAGTGCGGGCTTCCTGCGCTTTGTGCGCGTCCTTTGCGGGATGTCGTCGGACGAGAGGAAAGCCTTCCTGCAGTTCACCACCGGCTGCTCCACGCTGCCCCCCGGTGGCCTGGCCAACCTGCACCCACGCCTCACCATCGTCAGGAAGGTAAGCAGCGAAAATGTCCCACCCGGAGGCGGCAACTCAAAGCCCACCGTTGCCCGCAGGTGGACGCGACAGACTCGAGCTACCCGTCGGTCAACACGTGCGTTCACTACCTGAAGCTTCCCGAGTACTCGTCCGAGGACATCATGAGGGAACGTCTGCTGGCCGCCACCATGGAGAAGGGCTTCCACCTCAACTGATGACCCGTATGACTCCAGGCGGCGCTGCCTCCTCTCACCTCTCCTCACTCGCGTGTGTGTGTGTGCGCGCGTGTGTGTGTGTGTGCGCATGTGTGTGTGTGTGTGCATGTGTGTAGGTTATGCACACGTGTTGTCCTGCGACCACATTGATGGTTTTTTTTTTTTCTTTTTTTGGGCTTTTGTTTTTAAGCATTTGATTGCTTCATGTGTCCGTGCTTGTTCTTTCTTTCCAGAGACACAAACACTGGTCGTCCGTTCTTTTGTTTGTCCATTTGTGTGCAGGGGGGAAACGAAAAAAAAATCCTGTATTTTCTTTGTATATTATAAACATTTATTTAACTCTAGTTGCAGTTTGAGCTAAACAGATATTTTCAAAAATGTGTTTGCTCGGGGGGGAGGGGGGGGTCATTAAAATGTTTGCAAAGTAACGAGAAGCTTTGGGTTGTTTTTTTTTTTTTTTTTATGTACAGTATTTACTTTCCAGCTCCTTGTTTGAGCACTTTCAATGGCCGAAATTAAATTGTGCCATAATAATGATACAGACAACTAGGTATAACGTGCGCACAAAATCCAAATGATACTTTCAGATCGGCTGGGTAAGGAAATGGAGCACGCCTTCCTTAAGACACCCAAGTAGAGTACATAGCGATTGGAGCAAAGGTGCGCTCCATTTGCTTACCCAGACATCCAAGTTGTTCATGGGAATGATATTAAAACAGCAAATTGGTATATTGAGCGCACCTCCTTAATGTTCCGATATAAGTATATATTGGTCTCAGTTTAGAAAAAAAAAATTGCCCATGTTTGGAGATGGGGAGATATATAGATATCTATATCTATAGATAAAAAGGAATCTTTTTCTCCACTAGTTAATTGTGCCTTCTGTTTCTCGATGTCAGACGCCGGTACAGAGAGGGCAAAGATGCAATATTTGTCAGAAACAAATTCTTTTCAAAGCAATTACTGCTCAGAACTACGCACAGAGGTTTGATTATCTGTGAGGAAACCAAAAATTGCCATCTATCTCCCTTTGGCATCAGCCATCGGCCATCTTGTCCAGGGCGTTGAGTGGGGCCAGGATGTTGCTCTTGTTGGTCTCCACAATTCGCCCGTTCTGGATCATCTCGTCCAGGATAATGTGAACGCGGTCCAGGTTGAACATAATCTGCCACGCCAGAAACTCAAGGAACACCCTAACCTTTTTGTTTTTCTATGCTTGTTGGAGGTCATGTAACCAGAAAGGATACATCCAGTTCACTCTGCGAGGGGACGCAAAAAACAGGAAATGGGAAACTACAGTGCCACCTTTGGGTATAATGTCATCTTTTCCAACTCACCACGCGGCTGAAGTATTTGTCAAGAACCTCCACGAAGTTCTGGACCAGCTCGTAGATGGACAACTCGTTCTGTGGGGGATGGAAAATGATCAGTCCTCTTACTAAACGAAGCTGAACTGACACGTGCGAAGACAAGTCAACATCGAGCTTGGCACCTCATCCTCAGTAATGCCCACGGCGATGTAGAGGGCGGCGTACTGGCGGAAAACCACTTTCGACTCTTGGTACTCCACAAAGGAACACTGGGAAAGACAGATGGACGGACGACATTTGGAACAGAGGAGCGGTGACCCGCAGACTCTGGTGGGAACGCATTCACGGATCGTAATATCACACACAGTCGAAAAATCCATCCACACTCCAATCACGTTCTACGGATTGATTTATTTATTGAAGGTGCGCCAGGTAGTATTTTTTAAAATGTGTTATGGAATGACGTGTATTGAAAGCAACTTTAGTTGTCTCGGGAAAGTCCGCTTAGCTTAAGGCTAATAAACAATGTGCGGCCCCTTGCTTGCATGCTTCCTGTTAGCATCAAACTCAAATGGTGCAGCAACACCCATAGGTAGACAATATAAAACATACTTCCAGGCACATATTCTTTATCCTCTGCAAAAGCTGGTTGTTAGTACAGCAGTTTTAGTTCAGCAGTGATTTGGCATCAGCTGACTGCACAGGCTGGGCAGGAAATGATCTGGGGTCACCTGGTCTCTGCTCCGGCTCAGGCAGGTGTGGACGATGTTGGCCTCCAGTGCCGTTCTGCGACTCATGTTGATGGACTGGTAGTACCTGCAGAGTCGGGTCTGACCCTGGCGGTTCACCATCAGGACAAAGGTGATCATGCTCAACGCTGATTGGCCGAAGCCCTGACATGAACTGTGATGTCACCTGACGACAGTAAACCGGAAGTAGGGCATTATGTGGAGGTTTTGCTCGTTATTAAACGTTTTGAGAACACGGCGCGTACCATTACAATTGTAAAGTTCTAGCTTTGCAAATATTCGAGCTTCATTAAAAAAAAAAAAAAACAAAAAAAAAACACTGACACCACTTTCGTCCAACAATTCCACAAAATAAATCAACTTACCGTCGGCGGCTATCTTAGAACCTACATGAGTTTCGTCAGATGAGTCCAAAAACGTCAACAATCGAGCTTGTACCAAGTTCCTTTTAGGCTGTTGTAAAATAATCACATTTGGTAGGTTGCATTAAGTATCGGGCTCAATGAAGGATTAGATTACTCCGTGAAAATGTTGAATGTTTAGCTAAAACCAAAACGCTTCAGCGGGTGCCCAGCGAGCTCAATTGTGGTGCGTTCATGGCATAAAATAGTAAGAAATTTGCCATCAGTGTTTTTCATCGACCTACGGTGAACTAGCTCTTACCCTAAAATGACGAAAAACAGGATAAACGTAAAAAGATCAAAACACTTCAGCATTTACAAAACACATAATCAATGATAGATAGATAATTTAGAATTGTGAAAGAATGTAGACAGACAGCTAAATCCCCGACGAGTCGTCGGCGCCGTGATGTCCGTTTTGTTTTTGGGGTCACTAAATGCGGCAGTTCCGTTCCCGGCATGCACCGCGGCAGGCTCCTCTCCGCTGCGAGAGCGCTAAGTAATGGCGGCCGGTTAGCTCCGCTCGGTGAGCAGCTCCCGTCTTCAGCCTCACTCGCGTTACCGCAGTCCTCCGGGGGGCAGTTAGCCGTACCGGGGTGGGCCCATCTAGCCGGACACGTAGCGGGGGCTTTCCTTCTCTTGGCGGACACTTTCCAACAAGGCCGACATGGACGAGCACCCCGGCGGAGGAGCCGCCGCCGGACCTCCGCCGCCCCAGCAACAGCAACAGCAGCAGCAACTCCATCCGGGGGGGACCGGAGTAGTTCACCCGGCCATCGGCGGCAGCGGAGGAGGAGGAGGGGGGTCGGTGTTGGGGCCGCAGCAGACTGACGACTTGCCGCGACCCCAGCAGCAGTACACTATACCGGGCATCCTGCACTACATCCAGCACGAGTGGGCCCGCTTCGAGATGGAGCGGGCCCACTGGGAGGTGGAGCGGGCCGAGCTGCAGGTGAGCCACGCAGGGACGGGCGGGCGGACAGTAGACGCGACCACTGGCCGGAGCGCCGCTGACGTCCATTCATGGGAGACAGTGTCAACATCATGAACTAATAATAGCAGTGACATCACTATTGTGACAACGCTCACAAAGTAGGCCAACGGCTACTTTAGTCTTTGTCAATGTAACATACATTAAAATAGCTTATCTCTAAATCGGATGTGTGCTTTTTATTGATTATTGATATTAAGCAGTGGGTGACGGTCAGCCCATGAATAACAGTGTCGACGGCGCGATGTCACCCCCCCCCCCAAAAAAAAAAGTTCTATACACATCTACGTGAAACACCACACGGCTACCAACCTGAAATTAAACTGATTTTTCAAATGAAATATTCATCCGCCTGATAGCTAAAGCCAAGCTACTATGCTACGCGCTAGGTCACCGTTAGCTTGGACCTTCCGCTGGACGTGAGCCGCGTTAGCCTTTAGCTTGGCGCCCCGTCCCCGCACTCAACAGGAAATGTGTCAAATGGTTCAACTTGTGACATCTCCACGTCGTCGCCGCGGCTTGAAGTTTGACTTGTGAACAGCGAGGCACGAATACTGTGGAGGAATGTCCTCGAATTGGTCCACGCGAAACCATTTTGGCTCGTCACGCTAGCTCCGAGCTAGCCTAGCCTAGCCGCTAGCCTAGCAACAGCTGGGCCCGTATGACATGCACAGCGTCACTCACTGCACTTTTTTTGTGTACGGAAATATCGCTTGCTACTTTCCTATTAGCCAATTGTAAATTGTTTTCTTTTTTTTTTTATTCGGTGGTGCGTTGATACTCTCATAAAATATTAATACGTACATTGCAGAGAACTCGTTGGTTCACAAAATAGGGATGATTTATTGTGTGGACTATGGACCTTAAAAGTTTTCCCCCAAAAATCTCAATGAATAGGGAATCCGTAAGGGATTGAATGATCTGTATTTCCCGACTCGCGGTGATTGTATTTTATTTCTTGAATATCGTAGACGATGTAAATTGATTCAAGGGCTGACATGATGAATTAGAGCGCATGTGGCGACCTGAGTTGACAAACTGTCCGTGTTGGAAATCACAAATGTATTCGCTCCCAAATCACCGTTTGCTGAGGTTCAACGATTCCTCGAAAAACTAGTCCCTACCCAGCGGGTGCAGCCGCGATGCAGAAAAAGCGGTTAAGTTTGCATGACCGTCTTTGTCTTAAGTGTTGCGGTGTATTATTTGATGTTAACTGTTCTGTTGATGGCGGCGCGGGTACCCACAGCGGCTCCTCTCTTCTCTCCTGTGGTTGAGAGGAAAGAAATTTCATCTGTGCTGTATGTTGCCCATCGAGCATATTTGACAATAACGTTGACTTGACTTGACGTAAAAATCCCTCCACTCATGCTCCCCCCGACAATTGGATCGCGACGACACCATGCCCTGTGTTTCACTGTCACCACGGTAACCGGCACACCTCTGCCTTGCCACCTGTTGCTATGGCCACCCGCGCGTGTTTATAAATAAGCACCATTAGTGTCATCTTTCAGAAGCAGCTGCTGTCACACTTGCGCTTGTGGTTTGTTTTTTTTTTCAGGCGCGGATAGCGTTCCTCCAGGGTGAGCGGAAAGGTCAGGAGAACTTGAAGAATGACCTGGTCAGAAGAATCAAAATGTTGGAGTACGCTCTCAAGCAAGAGAGGTGTGAACGAGTGAGCGAGCGGAGCATCGCGTTGCATTGTGTGTAACTGTGAGCGTGTCGGCGTTCCGCAGGGCCAAGTATCACAAGCTGAAATACGGAACAGAGTTGAATCAAGGCGACCTGAAGATGCCCAGCTTTGAGTCAGGTGACGTCTCTCAGCCCCGCCCCCCTCGCTTTATGGTTGTCGCGGTGACGTTGCCTTGCCTTCCATTGTTGACCGCGTGTGTCTTCGGCGTGCTCCCGCGTCGACTGCACTTGTGGGTCTGCGTGTGTGATTGCGCTTGTTTTTTGTTCCAGACGCCAAAGACTCGGAAGTGTCGGCGCTTCCCGCCAACAGCCAGCTGACGTGGAAACAAGGAAGACAGCTGCTGAGACAGTATGATGACAACACGTGACATCATCGGGTGGTGACAGCAAATGCTCACGTGTGTGTGCGTGCGCGCGCGGGCAGGTACCTCCAGGAAGTGGGCTACACGGACACCATCCTAGACGTCCGCACGCAGCGCGTGCGCTCGCTGCTGGGCTTGTCCACGTCGGAGCAGAACGGCTCGGTGGGGAAGAAGAACCTGCAGCAGCTCATCAACGGCGACGACGCGCGCAAGGACGTCAAACGGTAACCCGCGGCAATGACGCCGCGGCAATGACGCCGCCGCTTCATCGGTGGGTGTGCGCGCAGGAGTCCGGGCGATGTTCTGGAGACGTTCAATTTCCTGGAGAACGCCGAGGACAGCGACGAAGACGACGACGACGACGATGGGGAGCTGATGGATGACATGGGCGATGACATCAAACATCGCAGAAAACACAAAAGCAAGGTCGGCCAACGGCGCTTCTTCTTCCTCCTCCTCCTCGCCACGTTTCCGTCCTCCCCTCGGCCTCCTCTTCAACGACGATCGTTGTCTTTTTCCGTCGATCATCCGGTTCCTCGGCCTCAGGTGGGCAACGAGGGCCTGGCCTCCGAGGAGGACGACGACGCCGACACGGAGGAGGCGCTGAAGGAGTTTGACTTCCTAGCGACGGCGGAGGACGGCGAAGGCGCCGGCGAGGCGCGCAGCTCCGGCGACGGGACCGAGTGGGGTGAGTTCGGCGGGCGCTCACCCCGGTCGGACTTACGCTAGCCCTCTTTTCCCCGTCACGCGCAGCCGAGCCGCTGCCGTTCGCGCCCGGCGGCGGCGGGAAGAACTTCCTGATGGGCGGGGCCGACCACATCCTGGAGAGCGTGCTGGGACTGGGCGATCTGGCCGACCTCACCGTCACCAACGACGACGTCGACTTTGCCTACGACGTGAGTGGCGCGTCCCTGCCCGTCCGTTTTCCGAGAAAAAAAAAAATTCCTGTGCATCCATGCTTAATACCTCCCCTCGATTTCAAATTCTTGTTTTTTTAAATTTGTGTCTTTCTTTTCCTGAGCGTTTTTGGCTGGTTTGTTATTTCAAAATGCAAGTTTGCGTACAGGCACGGCTGATTCGACTCCTCCCCCCCGCCCCCCAGGTGGCGACCAATCAGGACTCGTCGTTCCGGAAGACGTGGAACCCCAAGTACACGCTGCGCAGCCACTTTGACGGCGTGCGGGCGCTCGCCTTCCACCCGGTGGAGCCGTGCCTGCTCACCGTGTCCGAGGACCACACGCTCAAGCTGTGGAACCTCACCAAGACCGTCGCCGCCAAAAAGTAGCGCCGGGCGCGCCGTCACGCTCGACTTGACCTTCGGGGAAATGGCCCCTTTGCGCCGCGTCCCGACCGCAAACGCGCGCCACCCCGTCCTTTTGTTTGTTTCCTGCGGCGCTTTATTGCCGCGCTGACGTGATTTGACTGTGCATCGCTTGGCACTTTTTAAAATTGATTCGCCATCCCTCCGGATTCTCGCTTCCGAGCAGAGAAGTCGGCGTATTGCAGCGCTCTTAAGTCGGACCGCTCCCAAAACGTGGCAACGAAGGCGAATAGCGGGCAAACGTCGTCTTGATGCGTCATTTGGCGAGGCGTCCTTGACTCGAAACATCAACTTTAAGCAACTTTCCGAACGTCCCCCCCCACGCCGAAGAAAAATCGGCAACAGCTGTAGTGTCGTTCACTAAAGGGGGGGGGGGGGGGGTGAG